GAAAGGAACGAAAGGAACGAAAGGAACGAAAGGAACGAAAGGAACGAAAGGAACGAAAGGAACGAAAGGAACGAAAGGAACGAAAGGAACGAAAGGAACCGGAGACAGGATTGATAGATCTTCCGGGTGTGGGCGTGCGTTGGCATGGAACACACTCACCAAGTAGGGCTTTCCAAGATGTGAAGTCGAGCTCGGTTGAGTTGCTCGCTGCCTCCATTGGCGAATCTTGTGAAGCAATCTTGCGCAACACTTCGAGTCCCTTTCGTACTGCAGTCTCCTTCGCAGTCACCCTTGCTGCCTGGTCGTCTAGCATGCCATGGGGCACGACATCAGGGACCGGATGAATGTGCCGCGTGTCGGGATCTGGCGTCTCGGCTAAGGAAGCCAAGTCGCTACGATGAGCCATCCGAAGGCCTGCGTGAATCCAAACAGCCTTGGAGACAGCCCAGGGACCTCTCTCAAGTGCACCTTGGGGTCTAGCGTTGCTGTGTTGCAGATGGGACGGTGTGACTGAACTGGCTGATCGAGAAGGGAACTGAGAATGGACATGGACGGAAAGGAGGAAAACGAAGGAGGCAGGATGCGTATTATAATATTACTAGGGGGTGGATAAGGAGGCGAAGGGGAGTGTAAGTGTAACCTTGGTGCTGGGAGCTGTCCCAGCCACACGCGAGAAGAGAGAACAAAATGTACAGTCAATGTGCAGTTATGACAGGGGTCGACCGGAATTCAGGCAACACACAATCTTTCTCTCTCACCGCCGGCAGCGCTCCGCGATACGCGAAAGAAATGGTGAATCACCGACCGATTGTGATGGCAGAGCCCTGGCCCCTGTCGTGGCTCCCGCTCTTCTACGCAACTCCGATCAGTGTCCGGCTCTCATGGTCACTGTGCAAGTGGTAACCCCCGTGACCCTCGTGTCTATCGTGACCCTTGTCGCTTTCGTTCCTGTCATGTTTATCGTGACTGGATCTTTCGCGACGCGCCGTGCTGCGACGACAACATTGAATGGATGGATGCCAGGCTGTTACATCCCTACGCCTGAGTGCAGGCTTGGACGCCTCAGGCTGACAACGGTCTACGCTGCCGCCATTTCGTCATGCAGGCAGCGTGAGTGTTGATGCTATCTGTTCACTTTTTATTGCGGTGTTCAATTCGAGTTCTATAGTCTATTGTTAAATGCCAAGGCAGTCAGGTCATCTGCATCATGATATCTATTCGCCCTGGGAAAGGCAGACCACGGCCCACTTTCCGTGCCATGCCCATCGCCTGGCGCCGGTGTCGCCGCCACCACCCTCAGTCTTCCTGAGCTCCTCATCCTTGCCCGCGGGCAGGCCAACAACAACATCGGCCTTGCAGGTGCGCAAAGACAGGACATTGACGCTTGAGCCCTTGCCCATGGGTCCAAGCGCTTGTTGGAACCGTGTGGTGGGGTCCCAGTGAGCCTGTACTTGGTTAGGAGCCGCACTTTTAGTGTTCTTTCTCTCGTGTACTCACATCGCCTGTAAGCTTGCGATAGTTGAGGTCTCCCTTGAAGATGACAAGCTCGGCCCCCTTGAGATCGTCATGCAGCTCGGGTGCCTCGTGGGGAAGCCGCCAGAAGCTGCCACCGGCAGTCCAATATCGGTTGGGACGCATGACCAGCTGGCCCTCGGCCTGTCGGGTCGCCCAGTCTTGGAAGACGAAGGAGAGGTCTTCGGCCTCCTTCTCCGACAGGGGCTCAGGGACCTTGCCCTGAAGCTTTTCGTCCTCGGATTGTGTCTCGAAGAATGCCTTTGGCTGGGAAATGGCGTTCAGGAGAGCCGAGAAGTCGCCTGGCAAGACGTCCGAGACGAACCACGGCATTGACTTGGGTCGCAGGACAATCTGTGTGGCCAGTCCTGACGCGAGTAGGAAGCCAGCGAGGACGAGGTCGACGTAGAGCTCGAAGCCGGCGTTGTCAAGGACAAAGTCGACGCGGCGTTCCTTCTGGCCTTCGGCACGAGCCTTTTTGAGGATCTCATACGATGCCGGCAGGTCATTGATAAGAATGTTCTTCTCGGCGGCCTTACGAGCCGCGCTGCCCTGCAACTTCTGGATGTCCTCGTACGTGAGGTTGGTGAGAAGGGACAAGTCTGTGGCGTTGCCCCACAGACAGATCTCGAAAAACTCCGTAAACAGGAGCTTCTCAGCCTCCTCATCGTGTGTGGAATTCTTGTTGGCCTGGATCTGCTCAATCAGTTCCTTGTAGCGCGAGGCCAGCTCCAGCACTGCGTTGCGTGACGTGCGGAAAGTGTCAATCTTTTGCCGAGCAAAGATGTCGTAGTTCTTCCAGTGCTTGGTGAGCGTGAAGAATGTGCTGATGCGCCTATACATGTAGCACTCCGAGAAAAGCCAAGGGACGTCCAGCCAGCTGGGATTCCCGAGGTCCTGGATCTCCTTGTTGTATGCGGCAATCTCCTCGGGGTAGCCATCGTCGACTTCGATGGGACTGTTCGCCGTTGCGGTCAGTGATGTCGGCTGGGTATCGGGACATCAGGCAACGTACGAGAGCTTGCGGTCATGCTGAACCTCGTACTTGAGAGCGCCGAGCTGCTCGACAATCTTCTTGCCCTCGGTTTGCTTCTCGGGGTCGTCCGTCTTGGAGATGGCGCGATAGACGTCGTCAACGGCACCAGTCTGCTCCAGTTAGCGACAGATGCCAGAATATTACGAGAGAAGTCTCTGGTATCTTACCAAAATAACGGGCCATCGCTGGCGGACCGAGTCGCTTGCAAAGGACGTGGGGTCGCTGGTGACTGATTTGGCTGCCATATGACGATGTCAGCGAGACGACAGGCATTGTGCTCAGAAGCGCGTACGTGTCTTGGTATCGAACTCCATGATTGCGATTGAGATCTATTGCGTGTTTTGCTGAGCGAGGGCTGTAAGGAGAGAAAGCACCTCTGCGTTTAAAGAGAGCGATGAGGTTGCAGTTTGCAGAAGCGTCACCGTGGGACCTTCGTCCAGGCGATGGAGGGGCTCCAACCAAAAAAAAAAAAAGCGGGCTTTCGGCAGGGACCAGTCGGCCACGGCGGGGCAACAACGGGATGCTTCCATCGGACAAGGGCGACCGAGGCCTGGCAGCCTTTCAAACCAATCAACCACCGCAACACCATGGCGATGCCAATTTTTGTTTGGCTGTGGCCCCGTGCCGTCTATCATCTTTCACGAAGTAGACTGCCCTCGTCTTGCGACCCTATCCCTTACCCGTCGTTTCACGCAAAGACACAAGCTTCGGCGTCCATCTGCCGTTCGATGATAGCGGTCAATGCGCTCGCACCACGTCGTCAGCCCCGAGCAGCCAAAATGCCGCGCGTGGGTACCTTGATGTGGGCTCCCCGACGTCATACTGGAGATGCCACTGGGTCCTCAAGATTGTCGACTTTTACACCATTCGTCACCTAGGTTGCTTCAGCACTCGACATGAATCTCTTCGAAACGAGTCGACTGATGCTAAACAATGCCGGAAAACTCTTCACAAGATCCGCGCCCTTGTCATCACGGCGGCTGTACGTTCTGACACGCGACGTGGTATTTGCTGCCCATTGGTTGACCACGCGATGCCGAGGCGGATGCCGTCGTCTTTTGCAGCGGTAATATGCGCAGCAGCGCGGAACAGCCGCCGTCGCAGTACGCATCAAAAGTCTCGCCGGTGATCGTCCTAAACGCGTCGACAACCTTGTGGTCAGCCTAACACCGCAACGGGCAGATGATTGATGATGGCACCAGGGTTTGCTATTGCACCATCTATTGTGAATATCATGGACGCTTCTTACCACTACTGCCGACACAGAGCGTGACGCCCACACCATCAGGATGGGAGTGTCGTCATGGCACCGCGTTATCGTGACAGTCTCAACGACGATTCCGAAATGAAGAGCTCGATAGCGTTGTCATTAACTTCCCGAACTGTTCCGCGCCCTGCCCGCCTACAGCTGTAAGCCGTCAGTTTGGTGGTTGCCAGCGCGTACCTCCCTAGTATTCCGAAATGTCGCTCTAGACTTTCCTGTCCTCCTCGTGCTCCGGCATGTCAGCAGCAAGGAAGTCCACCGTGTTTAAAAGCGACGCATTGTAAATCCGACGCTGTGGCACTTTTGACCATGCTGGATCGACATGTGCTATATAAGTCTACAACTCGTTCGGTCGTCCTTGGATGCGACCTAGCCTTTTGCAGTGTTGGCTACGTGTGCGTACTCTTACCCAACTCGAAATAGACTGCATGTATTCGGGTACACTCGTCCTCCTGCACGCATTTAAAAATGTTCACATGATCGGTGGCATAGGTCGACCACGCTATGGCGTAAATCACCGACCCTGCTACGCCTCCTTGCCGCACAGAATTACTGTGTCTGCCGCGTTTTTGAGTATGCGGGACATTTCAGATTCGTGCGGGTAAGCAAGTTGAACTAGGAAAGCCTCTCCAACTTCATGGCTGTGACGGCACATAGAGCGCGAGAATTTTAAGCATTGGGTCTGGTTCCGCCAACAAGATCCTACATTGACGACTTGAGTACACGAAACGCGTCATCGCTTCCGCCGTTAAAACGTGCCTCGGCGGTCTTCCAGTTGATGACGTTCCAGATGTTCTCGATGTAAGCCGCCTTGCCATTAAGATACTGTCTGTCGTTAGAAAGACTTTGATGCAATGCCGAGCTTGATTGATCCCACCTGAAGATAGTATGCGTGCTCCCAGAAATCTATAGCAAGAATGGGAACCTCGCCGCCTACGACTGGGTCCTGGTCCTTGGTCGTGATAATACGTAGTTGTGAACCGTCTCGCACCATCCAGCCCCACCCTGAGCCCTGCAGTCCGAGAAGCACTTTCGTGAATGCCGTCTTAAACTCCTGGAGGCCCCCCCAAGTCCGAGCGATTTCTTTGATCAGGGTAGGCGCACTGCCCTGGGGATCCCCGGCCTCGGAGGACGAGGCCGGGGCCAGGTTCTCCCAAAAGAGCGAGTGATTTATATGACCGCCTCCGTTGAACTTGATGGCTCCTTGGAGGGCGATCTGACCAGCGATATCTCCGGATGAGCTCGCGGTCGCGTACGATCTGAGGGCGGCGTTAAGATTATTGACGTAAGTCTGGTGATGCTTGGAGTGGTGAAGCTCCATGATCTGGGCGGAGATGCTAGGCTCGAGGGCCTTAAAAGCAGTGTTCACGTCAGTACTTGTCACTGGTCTTGATGGGCAGAGCCGCAGCAGGGTCGGGAAGCAGGGACAGACGTCGTAAGCGTATGGAAGCGCTGGGAGACTGTAGACGGAGGCGGACATTCTGGTGGCGCGCAAATGAAGACGGGTCCGAATACAGAGCAAACAGTGTCATGGGCGAACAATGCGAATGAGAAGATTACTGGTCTTTGGCAAAAGTAGTCGCGGCTTTTCGCAGGTTTTGCAGGGTAAGAAGCTGAGTTGACGGGTGACGAGAGCGAGTACATGTACACACGACGACACTACCACGGCTTCGTCCACGCAGGTTGGGGCGCTGCCGCGTGACAAACGTTACAAGTGCGAACCCGGATAGGTGAGCAGGTTACTTACGTAGAGACAGTTTCGAAATGGCGTCGTCGGTCCACGGCGATTTCGCTCAAACTTGCTCGGTTCGGGCGGTGGACCACCCCTGATTGGCCAGCAGCCAGTGTCAGACGAGAGCGCCATGAACGCACAGGTGGCCGATGAGCACCTTTGCGGCCAAGCCATATCGCATTTGCGTGAGACAATCTTGTTTGTCTTCTTTCATTTTGAGCTAGAAACATGTTAATTACTATACTACCGTGGCGCCAGTCGCTTCCGGGGACAGTTTTATGGCTAAGTAGCATTATATCAGCCCGCCTGGTCGCCACAGATCCGAGTATCACGCCGACTTCCTCTTAACTACGCCCTGGACCGCCATCAAATCAATATGTGCGGCCCCGAGAACACGAATCGTCCTCGTGGAGGAGCGCTGGTCGCTCTTGGGCCGCCTTTGGGTGTCGGTAGCCCTGGCTCACTGGCATCCATTCGTGGAGATCTAGCTTTCCTCACCCCTGGAAACCCCGGCAGCGCCGAGGCAACACATGCTCGCCTGACAACAGCCGCTGCCATTGATGTGGCAGATCTTGGTGACCTCTCTGTCATAATTCAGTAAGCTTCCACTATTCCTCGCTGCAAAATTCACTACCAGATATGGTGGTCTAATTGTAGCAGTACCAGTGGTGATATGACGAGAAGTCCGGCCGAGTGCGGCCTCTTTCGGCAGTTTTCCCTCGTTCAATCAACAGCAGCACATCTGGAAGGCGTTAGGCTTGTTGAGCCGTTGTCGCTAGCCGTCGGAAATGGTGGCATAATCGGCCGTCGCGTGTCAGTATGCTCGAGGCAGCCCTGTGGCCGGGAGTCTGTGTTGGCTGAGGGAATTGTCGGTTTCAACTTTAATGAGTCTTCGAGGCCATCGTTATGAGGGAAGAACCAAGCCAAGGACGCCTACGACACGAACGAAGACCACATCTATATATATAAGAGGATCCGTAGCGAGCGGGACTTTGCCATGTAATATCGAGCAATCTGCAAATTTACCGGTTTTGCATGATTCACCAAACTATATGCTAGCAGCCGTTGGTGCCAAAATGTAAGTCAGTGGACTCGCAGCCAGGCTTTTGTCTTGCACCTGACAACAGCAATGTTGCAATCCTGCAGACCAGTGGTGGCCACTGACACTTCAGCTTGGGTATCTTTATCAAGCTTGATGATGTCCGTCTCATGAACCCCATGCTTCAAGCACCTCCCGCGGCGATGCCAAGTAGCCTTGCACGCGCCAGAGCAAGAGATGCAACTCCGTTAATCTCTGGCATTTTCCATGTCGCAGGACCAGGATTTGATGATTGCAGAAAGTGGGGGACTCGCTCTTCAACCTCTCGACCTCTGATTCCCCCAAGAGCCATGGTAGGTTGTGGACAACCAGCTTCTGGTTATACTGGGCGCCGGCTATGTCCAATGTGGCGTACGGCGCGGCACCCCTCGAGTTTTGTTTGACTCCTGGGAGCCAGAGCACACAACCCCCCGGCTTGGCCATGTCAACTTCAGCCCAGCCGGAGCAGGGTCGCAGAGTCTCGAACCCGTCTTTGGGGGTCATGGTCGAGGAAGCCCAAGTGACCAGCGCATCCGTAGCCCGCCGCCGCAGCATGCGCAGCAGTACATCTCCCATGTCTTCGCGCCAAACCGGATTGCGCGTGTCGGGAGCGACCGCCATGCCGCTGCGAACCGCAAGCAACATAGAGGCGTTCTTCTTGTTTTTCCCACCCAAGCTGTCTATGACAGACTTCCGACAGAGAGTGTAGCTCGTCAGGGGCCCGCGAGGCCGCGCTGGTGTTGCTGGTGCCTCAAAGGGCGGCGTGGAGGATCGCGTCGCATCGGGGGACTTTCGTTCAGTCGGTGAGGACTCCGTGCCTCGTGTGGCAGCCTCGTTTCCAGGACTCGCGATGGCTTCCGATATTTCATGTCCAGCGTTGCCGAACGAGAGCGGCCCAGGCGCCCACCACGCCGTGCCCGCCTCGGGGTGCGTAACCAGTTCAAAGTCTTGCAGGAAGTATCGAGGTAGTGACGCAGCCGTATTTGGACATCGCCGTATTGGAGTTTCGAGAGCTCTCGCTTCCTGTGTGTCAGCTGCGTGTCTGCCTTCTCGAGAGTGGCATGTCTAACCAAATGGGTTGCTCGCGAGCTTCTGTCTGAAGCGGCCGACAGGTTTTGTCGGACTAGCTTTTCTCTGTCGGCGCCGTGCCTTAACCCATGCTGGATCAAAGACCGGGGACATGGGGAGCTGCCCGATGGCCGTTTCAACCGTGTGTAGGTCTTCATTTATCCGCGGAACGTTGTTGGAGCTGGGGCCAAGACCACCCGCAACCTCATCAGCGAGGCTTCTGTTGGTCAAAGACGCCCCGTCGTACGAGGCCCAGCGCCGATTCTGGGCGCCGAGGTGGCCAGCACCAGTCGGGCGCGCAACTCGAAGGGCCGCGCGTGGCATTATTGTCGATCGTGTGCGGACGTCATGGCATCTTTGCGTAGCCGGTTCAAGGTTGCCCCGGGCGTGGGCTGGTGACGCGCCCGAGAGTGCGGCTTGTCCAAAGCCCCACTATTTGGGACCCAAGCTTGGAAGCTTCACCCTCGTCACATCACGCGGTCAAACACCATGGCTCTTCGACAGCGGGTATTACCCGCCCTGCGGATGCTGCCATGTAGGCAGGTTCGGGCATTTGGGTTCTCCAGCGCCCCTGGGAACACTGCACCGACGCAGGATTACATACCCATGCCCTACATCGAAGAGACGTCGGTACGCTCATCCTCCCTCGAGACCGTGTTCGTTGGTAACTGACCCGAAACCCAAGGCCGCCGGCCGAAAGACATGTGAGAACGCTACCGACAGCGCTGATGCGACCGATCGCTCGCTGACGATTCGACAGGGGACATATTCTCCAAGTTGCTGCAGGTGCGCTGTCTGACTCTGTCGATTGGGTTGCGCGGCTGACGCAATCCGCTTCAGGAACGCATCGTCTGTCTAAATGGCGAAATCAACGACTACATGTCTGCTTCTATTGTCGCGCAGCTACTCTGGCTCGAGTCGGACACGCCCGAAAAGCCGATCACCATGTACATTAACTCGCCGGGCGGGTCTGTCACGTCAGGTTCGTGTTGCAGTTCCCGCCAGTCCGAGATGTTGCTAAGCGGGACCCAGGCATGGCCATTTACGACACCATGACATACATTAAATCGCCCGTCTCGACCGTTTGCGTGGGCGGCGCCGCTTCCATGGCCGCGATCCTGCTTGCAGGTGGCGAGGCGGGACAGCGGTACGCGCTGCCGCACAGCTCCATCATGATTCACCAGCCTTTGGGCGGCACGCGCGGCCAGGCGTCCGACATTCTCATCTATGCGAACCAGATCCAGCGGATACGCGAGCAGTCCAACAAGATCATGCAGCACCACCTCAATAAAGCCAAGGGCTACGACAAGTACAGTATTGACGAAGTTAACGATATGATGGAACGCGACAAATACCTGAGCGTGGCGGAGGCGCTCGACCTCGGGGTCATTGACGAGATTCTGACCAAAAGGGCAGACAAGGACCCGAAGAAGGAGGAAGCGTCGGCGTCGCCAGCTGGCCAGGACTCGCGTTGATCCTGCTGCTGTGTTGGATAAGTCACGACGTTCCATGAAACCGAGAAGCTACGTCCGGCGTCGCCGGAGTAGGTCGCGGCGCAGGGGCTCTGCTCTGCTGGCTAATGACGGCCTTGGGTCGCAGAAAGCGCCTGGGCAAGGCGCTTAATACTGTACGAGTATGCTGGAAGAGGCAGTAATATGTAGCGTGCCGAGGCTTGGAGAGATGGTGGAACGGTGTTGCTGGGGTGGAGGTCTCCCTTCCAGGTTCCCTGCCGATGTCGGCGACGCGGCTCCTGTACCACACCCGCCGGGACGCTTTCCGCAGCCAGTACGATGTAGACACGGCCAATTCGAAATTCGGCGACTTGATCAAGAATGACAGAGAAGGATTGCGGCGAGACATGGCTCTCCATTGCTCTCATATGCATCCGACTGGCGCGAAGGCTGGCGGGATAGCGGAGGCTGAACATTTTGTTCAGTCCCTCCTCGCTGCCAAATGCAGCTACCTCCACCAGTGCTCCGGGGCATGGACTGACTGGTTGACGTAGTGGCGCGCCAAACTTGAAGGTAATACCCACCGAGGTCCAACCCGCCAGTGAACCGCCATTGATTGCTGCTTATTTTTGCAGGCCCTCCGCACTCTCCACGGGCACCGACCCACGTCAGCCGGCCGAGACCGCTGTGTAAAAAGGGCGTTCAGCCTCTTGCTGTCGTGCGTCCGCCAATAACCATCGGCAACCTGTCTGGACAATTGCAGCTCTCACTCTGGTCTTTGGCTCTTGAGAACACCGTCGGCACACCCGTAGTCGCACTGACTGGGAGCGAGCCTCACCTCCGACACTTCCCTTCTCGACGTCGCCGTCAGCATCATGCTTTCAGCGGCCCTTCGTCAACGCCAGCCCGGCGTCATGGGTGCAGCCCTGACCAGAGCCACCGCGCCCACGGCGAGGCACCAGAGGTACGTCAAGATCCCATCCAAACACCGCCTCAATTCTGACAATTGCTCTTCTGCAGCCGGTTCCTCTCGTCTACCTCGGTTTGCCGCGCCGATGAACAACTCAACAAAGTCTCGGCCAACATTACCCAGCCCAAGTCGCAAGGCGCCTCTCAGGCCATGCTCTACGCCACCGGCCTGTCCGAGTCCGACATGAACAAGGCCCAGATTGGCATCTCCTCGGTCTGGTACGAGGGTAACCCCTGCAACATGCACCTCATGGACCTGTCCAAGATCGTGCGCGAGTCCGTCGCAAAGGCTGGCTTCGTCCCCTACAGGTTCAACACCATCGGCGTCAGCGACGGCATCTCCATGGGCACCAAAGGCATGCGGTACTCGCTTCAGAGCCGCGAAATCATTGCCGACAGCATTGAGACTGTCATGAATGGCCAGTGGTACGACGGTAACATCAGCTTGCCCGGCTGCGACAAGAACATGCCTGGCGTCGCCATGGCCATGGGCCGCGTCAATCGGCCTAGCATCATGGTGTATGGCGGCACCATCAAGCCCGGTTGCACCAAGAAGGGCGAGCTTATCGACATCGTGTCCGCCTTCCAGGCCTACGGCCAGTACATCACCGGCAACATTACCGAGGAGGAGCGCTTCGACATCATCCGCAACGCCTGCCCCGGTAGCGGCGCATGCGGCGGCATGTACACAGCAAACACCATGGCCACCGCCATCGAGACCATGGGCTTGACGCTGCCTGGCAGCAGCAGCAATCCCGCCGAGGACGCTAGCAAGCGCGCCGAGTGCGAGAGCGTCGGTCCCGCCATGCGCAACCTGCTCAAGGAGGGCATCAAGCCGCGCGACATCTTGACGCGCCGGGCCTTTGAGAATGCCATGATTGTCGTCTCCATCCTTGGCGGAAGCACAAACGCCGTCCTTCACCTCATCGCCATTGCCGATTCGGTCGGCATCAAGCTGACCATTGACGACTTCCAGAACGTCTCGGATCGCATTCCTCTTTTGGCAGACCTGAAGCCGTCCGGCAAGTACGTCATGGAAGATGTACACAAGATTGGCGGCACGCCAAGCCTCCTCAAGTTCCTGCTCAAGGAGGGCATTCTCGATGGCTCCGGCATAACTGTGACCGGCAAGACCATGAAGCAGAACGTTGAGAATGTGCCGGACTTCCCCACCAGCCAGGACATCATCAGGCCTCTTACGAACCCGATCAAGCCCACCGGGCATATCCAAATTATGCGCGGCTCTCTCGCTCCCGGAGGCTGCGTCGGGAAAATCACCGGCAAGGAGGGCCTGCGATTCGAGGGCAAGGCTCGCGTCTACAATGCCGAAGATGACTTTATCGACAGCCTGGAACGGGGAGAGATTAAGCAGGGCGAAAAAACCGTCGTCATCATCCGCTACGACGGACCCAAGGGCGGCCCGGGAATGCCAGAGATGTTGAAACCCTCGTCGGCAATCATGGGCGCTGGTCTGGGCAAGGACGTCGCTCTTCTCACCGACGGGCGGTTTTCGGGCGGTTCGCACGGCTTCATCATCGGCCATGTTGTGCCCGAGGCCATGGAGGGTGGCCCGATCGCTCTTGTCGAGGACGGAGATCATATCGTCATCGACGCCGAGAAGCGGGCGATCGACCTTGAGATCACCGAGGAAGAGATGGCACGGAGAAGAAAAGCATGGAAGGCGCCCCCGCCGCGGTACACTAAGGGCACGCTGAAGAAGTACGCCACCCTCGTGAGCGACGCCAGCTCAGGCTGCGTCACCGACGGACCCATTCAAAGAAGCGGATGAAGAAGTTGATTGAAGGGAGAATGTATCGCGATATAACTGGCTTTGAAACGGCGCCGGCTGTCTTGGTTCTGGGAGTATTTACCACGGTCCATCGGGATATGGATCCAGTCACACACCGTGATGTTCGAATACCCGAAAGCATGGAGTAGATAGCTATTGAAGTTCATAAACTCCCTGCCTGTGATGGTCATCTCTAGGACCCGACTGACAATCCCAAATGCATTCAAACCCCCGCTCCAATCAATGCATCAGACGGACCAGTTTATCAATCTCGCGACCTGACAAAAGTCAATGGCTCGCGGCCATCCCAGGCGCTCGCCTCGCAGCTCTCAGAGTTTCATGCCCAGTTTACTTCTTCCCATTCAGGGCAGCGATAAAGGCTGCCTTGTCCTGCATCGTCAGGCCGACTCTTTTGACCCTGCTCAACCGCGCAAGCGCCTCGGCGATGCGATCCAAAACCCGTTGTTCTTGGCTTGATACATCCGTATCAGCTCCCCTCCGCTGCTTCAAGTCGCTGACGCTAGCCCCAGTCGCGCTGCCACCGTTCGTTGTCGCCGCGGCCGTGTTCATCTGTCCCTCGGCTATGCGGACTCGGATGCAAGTTGTTGGTCTCGAGAGGAGGTTCCAGACAAACTTGAACCACTGGCCGGGCACCGGCGTCGTGACGTCAGACGGCGTGTAGCGGATGCTGACGGGGAAGATGTGGACTTGGGGTGGGCATTCGACGATGGCCGGACCGAGGGGCAGTATCGCTTTGCCGTTGGTGGTGCCGCATTCGGGGAACACTGCAATGACCCGGTCGGGGAACTCGCGGAGGAGGTCCTTGATGTCGACAAGGTTCGCGTTGGTTGGAGGCGCAATTCGCACCGGCCCGAGGGCCATGGCCACCGCGCCGAACAATCCTACACGCTGCAATTTTCGCGTGCCGGGATACGACACTGTGAACACGGTGTCGAATATGGCCGCAAGGTAGATCGCATCGATGGGGCTCGTAAAGTTGGCGGCAATGACGGAGCCCGGGTGGGGGACGCGCTCGCGCGGCTGCTCGGACAGTGTCCCGCGCTTGACGCCGTCCAGCTGGAGGTCAACCCACCAGATGCCGGGAATCGCCATAAGACCCCATAGCGCAATCTTTCGGGCGACGACAGGCAGCGGGAGGTAGTGGAAGAGGACAAAGTAGCTGGCAGCATAGGTGAGGAAGAAGGGCAGGCGGAAGAGGAAGAGTAGGCCGTGCGTCACCGTCGAGACGGCGGAGAGCGGCGTGCAGACGGGCAGGAAAGGCGAGATGCCAGTAGCTGCGATGAAGAAGAGGACATGTCAGCACGGAGAGCCGGACTGATGATGTCACCAGCTGCAGACTTGATAACCACGCACCTCGATCACGGAACTGGCTGTACTTTTCCATCGCGGCGAAAGGCGCGGGCAAGCCGCCAGTTATTTATTTGATAAGGAGGCGGAACTGGGCGGCAACCCAAGAGACAGCACCAAGGTGCGTAGCATGGGCAGGATTGAAGTTATCGAGACATAAAGCCTGCACCAAGACGGCTGGCCCGGAGGCTCGCGCGAGGAGCTCTGGAGCAGGTCGAGGCCGAGAGATGATAGGGGCGGTTAATTAGTCAGGCTTGTCGATTGCGACGCGCAGTAGGTCGATAACGGTCAACGTCGCCCTGGTCGTGCGCCGGCGGATCGTGTGGTGCAAATCGCTGGCAGTGACATGTGATATTGCGGACAAAAATCCCAACACTTCCAACCTCGTGGCGTGAGGCGTGGGTGAGAGCTGCATCGTTGTGGCTGGTGGGCGACGGGCGCCACTTTGCCGGATCCACACATGCGCGTTCCTCCGACAACCCCAGGTAAACAAGCCAACGGGCCTGCAGCGCACCCGCCCCAGCGATGTCTCGCAGCCACATCGTGGCGCCGCAGACCAAACAGCCGCGAACCTCTCCATGTTCAAAACAGAGAGGCCAACTGCGAACCACGCCGGCGCGCATCGAATAGCATTTCTCGACCCGACGTGAGCCAACCGCGCCGTGCTTCGTTACTGGCTTCAACCTTTTCAACGTATCGGTTGTGCGCCCACCATCCGCGCCCCCGACACAGGCGCTTCTATCGTCGCGCTTCGTCTCCCGTGCTCGCACGCTTCCTCCACGACGCCTCGTCCACCTGCGCCGGCCGACGGGGCCCTGCTCCTTGCCTTGCCCATTCTGATCCCAGTTTGCTTGAGGCGCAGGCGCGACACCGCTGTCATGGAGGGCTCGGAGAACCAGGTGCGTATTCTGCTGTCGCGAAGTCGTGCGGGCTCACCACTGACTCGCTTTGTCACAGGCTGCGCAACGCAACAGGAGTGCGCTGCCCATGCCGAGCGCCGGCATGAGCTTGACAGAATGGAGCGACTCCCAGCAAAACTCACGTGTGCAGACGGCCATTCCAGTTCCGCCGGGCTCCAAGATGGGGTTCAAGAGAGAGATACCACAGCCCACACACCTGCCCGAACCAAAGCGAAAGCATAACATCCCCACGCCCGCGACGTACTCCTCCAAGACGTTCAAGCCGCCACAAACAAGGCCAGGCATACAAGGAAGTTCCCTGATGGAAATGGCAAAGGTAGGCAGAGGCCATCTCCATCTACATGTCCAGAGTGCTGACGATTCGACTCCGACCAAACAGCCCAAGGGGAATCCGACCCCGTCGACGAGCAACCTCGCGAAACCGCTTGGCCTCAATCGCGGCGCCACGCTCGACCGATCCACAAACGCAACTTTCAGGGCCTCGGGTCGCCCAGTCCATGGCCGCTCAAGATCACAGGTCCAGCGGCCCCAAACGGCCCACGGGCATCATGATGCCGAGCACCGCGGAGACACGAACACAAACACCGGTATGGCCCCCTCGGGCCAACCCCGAAAGCGCCCCAGCTTCGATCCGATTCAATTTTGCAATGTGCGGGAAAAAAGAAGCAACCAGTCGTTGTCTGGAGCAAGGGAAAGTTCTCTGATGACCGAGTTTCGCGAACTGGCGATTGGTGGACCCGAGAATCCCTCTCGTCTTCCTGCAAATCAAGTGACAATTCGACCAAGTTCGCAAGTCGCAACGCCCTTCACGACGGCCGACAGTTCAAGGAACGTGGTCCGGCCGTCAGGCGAAAACCAGAGGTCGGCGGCACCGCGGGACACCTAGAAAGTGCCCAAGACGCCAACAGACAAGCAGTTGAAGCGGCAACTCGAGTTGGTTGAGCTTTCCATTTCGAAATTTACGAGCACCTCTCCCTCCAAGTCCCCCTCCCCAAAGAGGTTCTTGAACAAGACTTCTAACTTGACTGCCTACACAGCCTGGGATGTTGACGGGCGCGTCGATACAATGGAGACGCAATTCAGGGAGCTCCAGAACATGGTCAACACGACCCTGACCCAACGAAAGGGCGAAGACGAAGCATTGGAGCTGGCTAAGAGGAGAGGTAAGCTGCAGGGTGAAGATAGGGTTGTGAATGTGGCACTGACTTCGAACGCAGTATCAGAGCTGGAAGAGCATCGCAGAAAGCTCGACGAACGCAACGAGCAGCTCAAAGACGACCTTGATGCGGTGCGAGAAGAGAAGCGGCAGCTGCAACACGACAGGGAAAAACTCCAGTGGGAGCATGCCCGCGCCGTCGACACCATCGAACGACGCCACCGCGAAACAGTGGATGATCTCTCGCGACAGCATCGGACGGCAGTCGACGACCTTACCCGCGAGCTGGATCAGTTGAAGGACCAGGAGACCAAGGAGCACCAGCAGCGACTGGATGCCTTGACACGTCACTATCAACAAGAATTGGAGGACGAGCGCCATAAGAAGGATCGAGAGGTGCAGGAGGTGAGGACACGCATGAGTAACGAGTACCACGACATGGACATGGCGCTCCAACGAAAGGACCGCGAGGTCCAGGAGATCCGAGCAGACGCCGACAACACTCGAGCGGAGCTGGATCGCGAGAAGGCGCTGCGGAGCAACCTGCAGGCAAACCTCGCAGAGCTCTCGGCGTCCAACACCACGCTCGAGGCCAAGATCAACTCGCTGAAATCCCACGTCGAGTTCCTCGAGTCCGACAGCAAAGCCCAGTCCGATTCGTTCGCCAGCATGGAAGCGCGACTTCAGGAAGCGTTGCGAGTCGCAGATGAAGCGAGGCAAAAGCTCATCAAGGAGGAGACGGAGCGCCGCGTTCTTTTCAACAAGTATCAGGAGTTGAAGGGCAACATTCGCGTCATGTGCAGAGTTCGACCTGCTCTCAATGGAAGCGAAGGTGAGGAGGCCAGAATATCATTCCCCGACGACAAGACGTCGGCCGAGATTGTCTTGGCTGGGCCCGAAGAGAGGAGCAGCCTAGGGGCGGTCTCGAGAAAGAACTACCCGTTCGAGTTCGACCGGGTCTTCACTCCCGACAAGCAAAACGAAGAGATATTCGACGAGATTTCACAGCTCGTGCAGAGCGCGCTGGACGGATACAATGTGTGCATTTTTTGCTACGGCCAGACCGGCTCCGGCAAAACATACACCATGTCCTCGGACGACGGCATGATTCCGCGAGCCACGCACATGATTTACGACACCATGACCAAGCTCAAGGAGAAATCATGGGAATATAACATGGAGGGCTCATTTGTGGAGGTGTACAACGAGGACCTGCATGATTTGCTGACTCCGACCGACCGCAACTCATCAGACGGCAAGGCCAAAAAGCTCGAGATACGCCACGACGAGGCACGCAAGCAGACAACCATTGTCAACTGCAAATCGGTCCAGCTCAACTCCGCGGCCAGCGTGGAGAAGATACTCGGGGAGGCGCAGAGCAACCGGTCGGTGGCAGCGACCAAGGCCAACGAGCGATCGTCGCGATCGCACAGCGTCTTCATCCTCAAGCTGGTGGGGGAGAACTCAGCGACCGGGGAGCGCTGCGAGGGCACTCTCAACCTCGTCGACTTGGCGGGATCGGAGCGGTTGAAGCACTCGCAAGCCGAAGGCGACCGGATGAAGGAGACTCAAAACATCAACAAGAGCCTCAGTTGCCTTGGCGATGTCATCGAGGCATTGGGAAGGGGCACTGGACACGTGCCTTACCGCAATTCGAAGCTCACGCATCTTTTGCAATACAGTCTCGGGGGTAACAGCAAGACGCTCATGTTTGTCATGGTGTCACCACTCGAGACCCATCTGAAGGAGACTCTGACCAGTTTGAGGTTTGCCACAAAGGTACGTTTGCTCCATGCCACCGGCACGACAGAGGGCTGACTGTGTTCCAGGTGCACAATACCCACATAGGCACCGCGAAGGCAACCAAGAGGATCAAGTCTACCGACGCATGAGCGCGTCATCACGGTGCGTGAGGAGACGACTTGGCATGGAATCGATGAATCTGTCTGTAGCGTAGCGATGCGTTGTTCATTAGAGCAGCCGGAGAATATTGTGGTGTCCTGTACGTATTATGCCGCCCGTGACAGAAGGCTGGTTGGACTTGGCCTTGTTGTCCTCGAGTAATGATACTACCCTGTTTTCACGGGCTTTTGCAAACGTGAAGGCCTGCCTTTCGTGCAGATCACATCGCGCTGAGATTGGCGTCATTCATCGAAAGCTTTAACACAACCGGTGTACTTGACGAGGTCCTACCCTATGCAGGTCGAAGGACTCAGCATACACTGTCAGCGATCCTCGCGCGGCAATATGAGACGCGACAGAGGGGGACGGCAACAAGGGACGCGCTGGGTCTGACGGATCTGATGGGCATAACGACGCAGCCGACGCGACAGGTGGAGTTGTGGACAGAGACAGCAAGTCACAAACAGGTAGGGCCGTGGAAGGCGAGCGTTGGCATTCATGCAAAAGAATGGGCTCGCGCCATTGCCATCAGTTGGGACAGCATCGGTCATTGAAATTGGCCTCGACGAGACCAATTGTTAGCACAGGAGTGAATGGCTGCAGATTCGAACAGTGATCCATGGCAACCCAGCAAGGCTGGCCGCAGCAAACTGACCGCCGATGCTTTTGCAATGTGGCGCGGCCGAGTGGGGCGACCAAACGATGCCACTGCCGCCGCTCAACGCGGGGCAGCCTGCGCATAGCAACCGAAATCATCCAAACCCTCAGCGTGTCTCGTTCCGCGACGCGCGCCGCTTCAAGCCATGACGAAGCCCCCTCGCGGCCTCTCATCGTCCGTCTGGGCCGGGGCTTCGTCGCAGCGGACCCAATCTCTACCGCCGCCGCTTCCCGCCTCTGAAGAGCTGCCGTCACCTTCATCACCACGGGCCAAAGCGCTCGCTCGCGCCCAGGCCCTGCGCCGTTTTGAGCAGGTTTGCGTGAGGCTCCGGTGGAAGTTCATCGACCTGCAAAACGCCTACGACCGCACCAACGCGCCGCAGTCATTCCACTTTGCGGCGCAGGAAGCCGAGAATAACTTCAAGGTTGACTTTCACGAATTCTATGTCAAGATCGAGCAGGCCATTGTATTTCTACTTAAGTTGTTCGGTACAACCATCGCCAAAGCATCAACTCTGGCTACCACACAGTACGGTGGCGCTCCCTCCGTGGCAGCCGCTCATGCATACCATCATAACGTTCTCAAGGCACTCGACGACGACCAGCATCCGCTGCACGAGCCGCTCGGCAAAGGCCCCGTGAACCAGGCACTCTGGAAGGCCAAGGAGCTGCGCAACAAGTGGAAGAGCGCCACAGAGGACCGTGAGTCACCACCGTTGGGGATGTACGACCTTAGCTGGATCGTAAATCAGGTCTTGGCGGGTCTGGAAGCCGCCTATGCCGTTGCGTCGGCGAGGGTTATCGAAGATCTTAACGACAACGACTTGGCCATGACTGACGACGAGCGGCGTGACGCCGCCGTCGTCGAGGGCGAGTGGGAGTGGATGGTGGAGCCCATGGATTGGGAATCGTGAGCCGCGTCCTTCACGACGGCCGCTGATGTTGTGACTTGACAAGATACCCTGTGGAATTGAATGTATGGACTCTGAATCGAAGGCAGCTCGCTGTTGAAACCCCGCCACAGCAGTGTAGCTTCGACCAGCTTCATCTGGTAGACTATCACGTTACTTTGCGCCTGCTGCCCCTACAAAGTGTGCGCGCTCTATTCCTCCTCGCGTTTGACATGACCACTCATTTCAGCCTTGAGCTCCTCTCCCGCCAGGTCCTCCAGGGCACCCTTCCTGAACGCTCTCCGTAGCTGGCACTTGCCGAGGTTCTTTCCTCCAGCCTTGCACTCTTCGCATTTCTTACCATGGTTGATGATCAGCACATGGAGCGGATACTTTTCGTCGTCCGGGACCGTGGCATCGAGGTGCGCCTGCGACTCCTCACGACTGGCACCGGAAGGGCGCCAACCCAGGAGACCAGTGATGCGGTAGACGTGGGTATCGACTGCGAAGCTCGGTCGTTGGAGGCAAAAAAGGAGGACGCAGCTGGCCGTTTTCGGGCCAACCCCTTGGAATGACAGCAATTCTCGCATGGCATCGTCGTCGGAAGCCGAGAACAGGTGGTCGAGCGAGTACGAGCCGTGTTTAACCTTGGCCTGTTGCAGGATGCTGATTATCACCTTGGATTTGACGACACTCAGTCCTCCCGACTGGATCACCTGCTGCAGCCTGGCCTGGCCCCCTTCCACGATGGCCTCCCACTTGTCGCTGCCGCCGTAGGCGTTGTCCATGCTCTGCTTGGCCCGCGAGCTGTTCTTGTCGCTCGTATTTTGGGACAGGATCGTGCGGACAAGCGCGTCGAGCACCGACGGCGAGGCGCCGCAGCCGGCAGTCGCTGTTGGTGCCACGACCTTGTCTGGACGGACGCGTTCGCCGTGCAGGTCAGCGAGAACCCGGTGCGCGAGCGAGCACTCTTGTGGCGTGGGACGTCCGAATCCTGGGAATGGGGAACGGCAGGAGTGTTCAGAAAACGACTTGAGTTTGCGAGCACGAAGAGCTTCGGACGTCGATTTTGCGGCTGTCCCGACGCGTGACAGGGCGTCGGCTTCGTTCTTGACCGGGTATTTGGTATCGCGGTCATGATCCCGCGGCTCCGGCGTAGGCGATGGCTCAACCTTGATGCGCTTGCTGCGGCTGGCCGGTTCAGATTTGAGCGACGAAGAGTAAGCAGCCTCACGCTTTGGCCCCCCTTGCCTTCGGCTTGCCACGGCGGACTGCGTCAAAGTATGCTTGGCTCCGGAGATCATGTCACTTTGCTTAGCATTACGGGCGCTGCGCCTGAGCACAGCCGTTTGTGTCGTGCCTGCCATTGTTTGCGAAGCAGCAGGAACAGTCCCAATACCCGGTGTCGTCGTTGACAGTCAATGCTTCATATGCAGCCAAAGCGAGCTGGGTTCGATGTTTGAGCTGTCGGTTGTGCCTTCTGGAACCCATGACGTTCGTCGGGGCGCTTGGTGAAAGTGTTGATGTCATTGACAGATCTGGCCCGTCGGCCACTGCCGCAGCCACATCCCAACCACGAACGCCGAGACGCGCCGCACCCGGTCGCATCAAGCAATCGAATCCCGGTCCGTCGCTTTGCTCTCGTTCACAGCCACGTACCCTGCACATCCTGGCTTGCCTCGCACTTTCGGGCCGAGATCCTCCTTTGACACATAGAGCTTGGCTAATGTTGAAATGCACTCAATTTCCTGGCTCTGCCCATGCATTAACCGGTCGACACTATGTTAAACTAGTCTGCTCCCTCCGCAATTCGGCTGGCGCAGAGCGATCTCCCCCGGCCGCTGACCATCAAAGTTGGCACATATTCGGCCCCCAAACGGCCCATCCTCGGGCTTATTCGTTCTCGTACTCGGATAGGCAGACGCTGATTGATGCGCCTGTCACACAGTGAACTTGGGATGATGAGCGCCGATGGCCGATGTAGCTGCTTGCCGTTTAAAAGATGAGGGTTGCCTTGTCTCACTTTGAGGTGGGACTCGGACCACCCTACTAAACGTCTCAGTCACAAATAAGGACGTAAACAACGATGCGTTTCTGCAGGCCGGATTTGCCGGCAACTGCGCTGAGTCTCCTTACGCTTGCGTCCTGCTCCTGGGCAGATTCGTTCGATTACGTCGTCGTGGGCGCTGGGACAAGTGGTCTTGTAATTGCGAACCGACTTTCAGAGAACCCTCATGTCACTGTTGCTGTGATTGATCCAGGTCCGGATGAGAGAGACAATCCCGCCGTCAGGAATCCAGCGATATGGCCAGTTTTGCTTCAGACTCCGGTCAATTGGGCCTATCAGACCGTCCCGCAGGCAAACGCGTCAAACCGCGTTATCGAGTTCGACGCAGGCAGAGGCATTGGGGGGACCAGTCTGATCAACGGTACAAGATCCAACGTGGCAACCCGCAATACGGCACGAAGTATACTGACAGGCTGCGTTGTAGGCATGACGTACATTCGTGGCGACAAGGCGCAGTTCGACGCTTGGGAGCGGCTCGGAAATACCGGTTGGAATTGGGACATTCTCCTACACCACTACAAGAAGGTGGAAAGGCTCTTCGCGCCTTCACCTTGGCAAGCGGAAGTAGGCGCATCGGCTCAAAGGCAGTTTCATGGCGACGCCGGCGAGGTTCGCGTCGGGTTCACACCGGCACTTCAAAATGGTTCGTTCTACGATGATTGCAAGGCGTCGTGGGAAAAGCTCGGCCAGGCCGTCAACGATGATGTCAACAGCGGTACAACTCGAGGCTTTGATGTTTGGCCGCAGACTCTGGACCCCGAACAAAACCTGAGGTGGGATGCCGCGAGGGCGTTCTTCTGGCCTGTTGCCGGCAGGAAGAACTTGCACTTGCTTAACGGCACAGCGTCTCGAATTCTTTGGAGGTCAGATGTCCGCGACCATGCTCAGGCTCGAGTGTCTGGAGTCGAATACTTGGCAAGCCCCGATGGCAAGCGCACAACAGTGAAAATCGACAAGGAGGTCATTCTCTCTGCTGGCGCATTACGGACTCCGCTCATACTAGAGAGGTCGGGCGTCGGCAACCCAGCATTTCTGAAGACCAAGGGCATCAAGTCGGTAGTGGATCTGCCGGGCGTCGGCGAGAATCTCATTGACCAACCTAACATCTCCCTCGCTTACGCAAGCAAGCCGAATCGCACCGGAACGAGCCCATATGCCACGTTCGTTACGGCAAGGGACCTGTTCGGCAACAAGACGGGGCATGTAGCTGCGCGGACCAGACGACAACTCAGGCAGTGGGCCGAGACAACCGCCCGTTTGAGCGACAGCTCCTTGAACGCGTCAGCTTTAGAACACATATTCCAGATCCAGCACGACCTGATATTCGACAAGGGTGTGACAATTGCAGAGATACTGACCACGGCTGCGCAAAATGCCGCCTTATCTATATTCTGGCCTTTGCTGCCATTCTCAAGGGGTAGTGTCCATGTCCGATCGAAAGACGATGAACACGTCGCAGATCCCGTCATTGATCCCAGGTACCTCTTCAATGGGTTTGACACCACAACGTATGTGGCAGCAGGGCGTCTGTCGACCGCCTTCTGGCGCCAAGAGCCCATTTCTGATACGATAAGTGGCCGCCTACTGCCGAATTTGACGACATTGCCCGACGACGCTACGGACGACCAGTGGAAGCGCTGGCTGGAAGATAGCATTGGATCAAACTCACATTCAATTGGCACTGCTGCCATGATGCCCAGGAGTCTTGGTGGCGTCGTGGACACGGCCTTGAGAGTGTACGGGACGAGGGGGGTGCGCGTGGTGGATGCATCTATATTGCCAATGCAATTCAGCGGGCACCTGACCGCTACTCTATATGCTGTAGCAGATCGCGCCGCAGATATTATTCAAGGCGCTGCTAACTGACCTTGCTCCATAGTACACAATGTACAAAATACGACAAAGTGCTAAACCGCCGCGCCAACTTATTTCACAGATGATGATGAGCCAGCTGACGAAGGAGGTTCGCCACTGGAAAGAAGTTGGACAGTCCGAACGTGGGAAAAGAATCTGGTGTCCGCGGCGGCGTAACCTCAACATCCTCCAGCGAGACCTTCAGACTCGTCACGTTGCTCACAACGGTTCCATCCGGCTGGGGAAGAATGTCAGCCGTCTGAAGCTGTTTCATCGAAGTGACGACAAAGGGGGGATACCTTGACAATCTGAACCTTCATAGACGTTGCGATTGCATCTGCCGCGTGTTCAACAGGAAGTGTCGTCATGTTGGTATTTCGCAATGCCTTATCCAATGGCATGCCTGCGCTCAGCATTCCTTTGGCGGGTTGGCCAAATACCACGAAACTCCCGGCTGGCTTGTCATTAAGGGACAGCTTGATCTGGCACGGCTTCGGGATGTCGGCCCTGTCCACACTGATCCGCGCAAAGTATCTTCTCTTTGCTTGGGGTGTCTGGCGCCGCTCGCTTTGAGACTCGCCCCCTTCCGAATAAAGACGATTGATCAGGGTGATGGCATCCCGTCTCATCTGGTCTTCCGATTTGTACCAGTACTCCAGCCCCTCGTAAGAGTACCCAAAATCTTGCAGGCGCCTCACAGTCTCCGTTGTATGCGGTTTACCGTTGAGACCGAAAAAGGGCTGCAGTGGCGATTGGGCTGTTATCGTGGATCCTTCGGGGGAACCAAACCGGGATAGGCCGCTATACGACCCTTGAAATATCTCCTCATCAGGTCGAACAGCCTGCCAGTATGCCCATAGTCGGTCCATGTTGCTGTGGTGCAACATACTGCCAGGGAGTCAGCCTGCGGCCGAATGTTGAGCATCTTGCCACTTACAACAACGGGTCGAATCCGGATAGGTCTGGGCCGAGGAATTGCTGCCCACATGCAGCGTCCCAATGGATACCGTTGTGCACCAGTTCCATGCTGACGAATCGATCGCTCACCGACGAGAATTCTGAGAAATTGTCCGCACGAGCAAATGCATCGTACTTGCCAGCACGGTCAGCAGGCACGAACGGCAAACGGAGCACAGGTCAGAACTTACAACCCAGTCCTTGTATGGTCGTTGGCTCAAGAGATCATTGGCAGAGTTGGGATAGCTCTGGGGAGCCGGGCATCGCATCGTCGTGTTTCGATTATCCGAGTCGAATGACCCATATTCGCCATCCACCACCGACTGCGGAATCTTGAATGTGAATAACGGGTTGTCCACTTCCCTTTCGCCCACGCCCTGACCGTTTGGAAACTTCACTTTCATTTTCGGAGGGACAGTGACTGCTGGTACAGTTGCGTCGGCAGCCCAGTCCCAGAACGGTGCTCTCAGTTCTTCGGCTGCTTGCATGTACTGATCGCGTACTCCTGGGGGATAGGTACTCGCGATTTTTCGTGCTTGCAAAACTAATACTTGCTGCGCAAGAGTCAGGACGTGCTCCATTCCGTGCGACAAGCAATCACGCACCTCGAAAAGGACGACATATGGTCGGTGCCACGAAAGAAACAACAACTCCTGGGGACAAAGTCAGCGATCCAGGTTCACTGTGTGTGGTAGAGACAACTTGGCCTACGCCGTGTGGGCAGTATCCAGCCCAGCCATCCGTCGCTCGACTTCCTGTAGAGTTCCACTCAATGAACGGCCGGCCGTGAATGCCTGGTCCTGGTCGTCAACTAGAGCCATCCTAAAGCAGCAGTTGGAAGAGAGGCATACCTTCAATCTGAAAGTATGATAGTGTATCTGTATAATTTGCTTGCTGCATCTCAAGTAGTGCTCGGATGTAAAGGTCCCTGCCGTCTGTGAGCCGAGCATGGGACAGGGTCCCTTGAGCATGACCTACCATTGTGGCCCAGCCTCGGCTGCCAAGTCCTGGATGTTTCGCCTTAACGGCACATCATTGCTCAAATGCTTTGCGGATACTCCAGTTATTGGGTAGGGATCTTGGGCGACCGCAAAAGACGCAGCACTAAGTGCCAGAACGAGGCCAGCCTTCAAATCGTATGTACGCATTTTAAGGAGGAAGCGCAGAGCGTAGAAGAACAGACCAGTTCAGGTCTCGTCGCATGAAGTGGACAGGATGAGTGGATGAGTGAGTTATTATAATCAGGCGCCAAAGAAGAACAACGTCAAGCTCGCCGAGCTCGTGCCATTCGAGGCAACCGCACAGCAACAAGGCTGTACCCAGCACTTCTCATATGTCCGCCCGCATCGATCAGAAATGTGAAAGGAATGGCGACTGTAAGAACACAGCGGTGGCTGCACAATCTTGTCTTCGGTTGCCGGGACACCAGGCACCGCTGCGCTTTGTTCATTGTCTCGGAAGATGGCGGTGGTGAGAGGGGGCACGTCGCAATCGCGCAGCCACGACCACCTGTCCGGCGAACAATAATGGCGGAACGAGAATGCCAATACAGCTCTCAGAATAGAATGTGAACCGAAAGGCATGCCACCATTAATGGACACACGGCTGAGGAATGCAAGCGCGGTAGCAACGGCAAGGCAGAGACAGAGCTACGGCTAAGCAGGAAGGTGTCTCATATCTAAGACACGAGGAGGAGGAGAACTGAGTACGATCTACTATGACGATTTCCCCAATGCAGCGGGCCAGCGCGGCTGGCCCGGCGTGGGGGGGGTCCGGAGATGGTCTCGGGGAGGGGCAGCGCCCCCTCGCCCGTCTTCCGGAAGTCTGGCCGGCCGCGGGTGCAGGGTAGGCCGCCTCGACTTAGCCGTGCCGGCGTAAGGTAGGCGGGCTACCCTAGAGCGGGCGGGGCGCTGGCGGCTGTTATTATTATTATTATTATTCCGTTTAGCGTTATATATAGCCCTATAGGGCGAAGGACGTACTAGGCTATAAGATTACGTAGTATATATATTAGTAGTGTTATTAGTAGTATTATTAATAGTAGGTCCCCCTTAGTAACGCATATCGCGCTAACGAAAAGGGGGGAACATTTAAAAAACCCTTAATACCCCATGCCTCTACTGTATCCATTTCCTCCTTTTCTCTTACATCTAGCTCTTCGTAGCCTCTTAGGCATTATTTCTAGGCCTATCCGCCCGTCCGCGGGCTTATAAGCACGGGTATAAGCCCGTTCTTTACGATTAGCAGTTTAATTATAGTAGAGGTATTATAACCTATAGTAAGAGGGTAAGCTAATATATAGCTAACTAGAGATAGGTTATATAATAAAGCGAATCGAAAGGCCCTTTAATAAAGGGTAAGGAAACTATTAAGCGAGCGAGTCTTAATAAAAGAGATAATATTATAAAGAGGGATATTAAGGGTAAAAGAGATAATAGAAAGATAAAAGGAGAAGTTATATTATTAGTACATTAGCGTTAGGCGCCTTACTATACTCCGCGCGCCTAGCTAGGGGGATAGATCTAGGCAAAGAAGTCTATCTCCTTAATTAAGTTAAGGTAGCGGCTAAAGTCTATACTTATTACTCGTTAGATCGCTTTAAGGGCGGCTAGGGGGGCTAGCCTTAGTCGCCTTAAGAGGCTAATCTTCCGGTAATAAAAGGGGTATAAGGGTAATTTCCTCCGCTTATATATATAGAGGTACGTTATGCTCTCGTATTAAAAGCGTTTATAGTACGCTATAAAGTCGCTATAGTATATCCTCGCTACTAGGAGGTACCGTAATAATAGTCTCTCGGTTTAGAGCTTTAATAGGCTTCCTAGCTTAGCCGGTAGGTCGAGGTTTCGGTAGTAATTAGAGACTTACGCTCTTACTTATTAAGTTATAAAGTCTTCCTTACTTATTTACTTCGCCCGCCTCTAAAGGAAGGTAAGTATCGAGGGGTTATCTAGAGGGGGGCCTCTCGTACCCCGTTTTACTAGCGCGTCGGCTCTTTCGTTACTAAGTATATCGTAGTATCCTAGGCACTATTTAACGTATATATTGCCTTAGGCTTATATTAACTATCTAAACTCGAGGGCCTTACGTTAAGAGGAGTTAGACGGGCGTTATATAATAGCGACGATAGTAGCTATATTATTAAGATAGACGAAGAGGGGGACTACTAAGTCGGTATATACTTCCTAAGTAGCTTTTAGACTATAGAGGGCTCCTATAATTTCGGCATTATAGACCTTAGCTAATCTAAGTCTACTATAACTATATAAGAGCTTATATCTATTAGCTGCCTAGGTTACGCTATAGCCTTAGCCTATTACGCTATTAACTTATAAGCTATCTAAGAAGACTACCGTTATTATTAATAGGAGTATATAGAGCTAAGACTTAAATTTAACGGCTAACTCTTCTTTAATTAGACCGTTAGTTAGGTTATTAAGCGTTAGCTTTATCTCGAGTAGTCTTAAATAAAGGCATATTAATAAGAGCGTAATAATTCGTTCGAGCTTAATAGTCTATCTCGGCTAGGCAAGAAGTATAGCGCGTCTCTTAATTATATATAGCTATATTTATAGCTAGCGAGATAGTCCGTAAGAGTTATTAAGCAGTCTTTCTATAAGTAAGTAGAGGTCGTTAAGAGTTATATATCTAGCGGCCGCTTTAAGGTAGGTATATTTAAGAATAAGTTCCGCTAGTATAATACCTATTTCTTAGTATAAGATAGGGATAGGCGTAATAATCTAGATAGGAAGTATCGAGCGTATAGTAGTATTAAGGACGAGTTATAGCTGCCTAATGTATGCCTCTATCTATATACTTATTATATAGGCGTATATATTAACTTTAGGTTTCTATTTACTTAAGTATTAAGAGTTAGCTCTATAGAAGAGCATTAATAAGATATATATTATAATAGCTTTACGAGTTATAGCTAGGGGGGGGGCCTGCTTAATATTACTTAAGCTATATAAAAAGTTAGCTAGTCTCTTTACCTTAATAGCTTAGTATTTAATATAGGGGCGGAAGTTAAGCTTCCTATTAAACTAAATGCCTAGCTAGTAGAGTAACTTATTAGCCTTAATTATTTAAGTACTATAGTAAATCGAGGGGTTATATTAAGCGTTATTCCGTCGCCTATTAAAATAGATTACTTTAGTTTTAATAGGGTCGAACGTAATGCTATTATATATGCCTTAATCTATAAGTTCCTATACGCTCTCTATTATAAGCTCGGCTATTTCCTCGAGTTCCTATCCTATATAGAAGATAGCTATATCGTTAGTATACTTAAAGTAGTAGCCTAAGTTATTAAGTCTATATATTAGTTCTATATATAATAAGAATAGGATAGGTAATACTAAGGACCCTTATAGGAGGCTATATTAAAAGGGCTTTAATAAGGTAGTAATATCTTTATAGCGGACTACTATTAAGCGGTCCGTTATAAAGGAGTCTACTTACTTAATAATAGCTAATAGCTAGCCTTAAAGCTAAAGGCGGAAGGAGAGGCGGTTCTATTAAACGTAGTTAAAGGCGCTTTATATATCTATTATAAGTAAGGTAGCTACCTTTCTAGACGTAAGTACTTATTCGATATCGTATATTAAGGCTATCGTAAGGTTTAATGCTAAGCGTTTTAAGAGGGCGCTAGCCTATTATATACTAAGGATGCATTAAGTAATTATAGTCTAAGCGAGCCGGTAGGTAAGTAATCTTTTAAGCCCCTTATTAATATATTTAAGGAGGGATATTAGGCGCTAGGCTTTCGGGGAGCTCTAGTTACGCTTACCTTACTTAAGGATTATAACTACCTTAGCTTATCTATATAAGATAGGGTAATAGCTAAGTATAAAGTAATTTTCATAGAGTTCTTAAATTTTCTCCCTTATAGCGGGCTATACCTTTTAGAGCATTATAGTTATAACTCTATCGCTACTTAAGGACGTATTTTTAACGTTAATATATACCTCCTTAGCTTTATAGTTATTAACTATAAGTCGAATATATATACTAGGTTTATATATTACGGGGATAGGGGGGGTTAAGATATTATTATTTACCGACTGCTATTTAAGGAGTACTTAGCGTAGGGCTATAGCTTTCTCGTAGGGTATAGTATAGACTAAGTTATTTACTTAGAGCGGGAGAGCCTGGAAACCGCTTAACTTTCTAGCTTATTTAATAACTCGGTAGATTAACCTATCGTTAGCTACCTTATCGATTACTCGTCTCTAAAAGTCCCGCTTTATAATATAGACTATCTTCTAGAAAGCCTTCCTTATTTAAGTAACCTCTTCTTTATTCGGTATGCCTAGCCTTAATAATATATATATAGCGTTATATTCTTTATAGGCTGCCTTATAGCTATCTATTTATTATAGGGTACTATAAGTAAGGGCGTTCGTCC